TCTTCTGAGCTCTGACCAGAATCTCCCACACAGAACAGGCTAAGGTGTTCCAGCTCTAGTCTTTCAGGTAACATCTCTGAACCTTTCTAAACTCTTCCCATAATCCATTCCCAAAGGCTCTTGAACCACATGGTTAGGTATAGTCACTGCAATGACTCCACTCCTGGTGCCAAATTCTTAGTTGATTTTCTCTCATTGCTGAGACAAAATACCTGATGCCCAAAATTAAGGAAGGAAAGATTTATTTAGCCCACAGTTTGTGGAGGTTTCAGTCCATAATCAGCTGGCTCCAAGACAGGGTGGCATTGCACAGGAGCAACACTTCAGGGTGGCAGAAGACAGCAAAGGCAACAAGAGCAAAATATGGGAGCATAAACCTCATTTCTTCCCTTATATTGTATGCAGGCTGTCCACGCACACCATCTCGGTGCTCTCCTCTTGCATAGGCTCAGAATGTTTACAAAGTAAGAACCCTGGCCCCCCTCCTGAGTCATTCAGTTAACCTTCTAAACTTTCCAAGTTGACACAATGTAAAATAACCACTGGGAAGAATTCCCTAGAGACTTGAAGAAAGACATCATGTGCTGTCTCAGTATGGCTGCCAGTCATCCTTTTTGATGTAAAGCATCTGTCCTCTTCAGTGGGACAAGAAAGGTCTGGTTCTCCTTTCTAGTCTGTGATGAAGGAGATGTTGTCTTTTGTTGTAGGGATCCAGAAGCCCTATGTTACCTGGCTGCAAGCTGTTGCCTGCCTCAGTGAACAGGCTGGAAACTCCATCAGCTGTCTTCAATAAAAGACAGTGTGTATGTGGGAAGATAACGCTAGATGTGGATGGGTTCCTCTTCCCCAGCCCATTAGTTACAGCTGGCAGATAGCAGTGACACTAGGATGTAATCAGACAGCCACCTGAAATTCTTGCATTCGATTATATGCCCAAGTAGTTTTTAAATCTATTTAGAAACCCTTTGCATGGTCTTATTTTCATACCCTCACCTAATAACATTTAATCCCTTTCAGCTTCTGTTAATAAAATTTCACTTGAATACTTACTAAATTAAATAATTGCATAACCAAGAGAAGATGTCTGCTTTACAAGGGGATAGATCTTTGATCTGACATACTTTGTTCTCTATGCTACAACCTGTTATAGGAAGTTTCATCACAAAAGCTGTAAAGTGATACAATCTTTGATCTAGAAGTGACCTTTACATCAGTGCGTCTTAAATTTTAATGAGCATACAAAGTACCTGAGGATCTTGTTAAAATTCACATTTCTTATTCAGTAGGTAGGACCTGAAATTCTACATTTCTTCCAGGTACCTGAATGATCCCCACGCTACTCTGAATTCCAGTTTGTGTGTCTAAGCTAGAAGACCTGAAGGCATTTAGCCCAGTGGGCATCTAAGGCCCTCTGAGCCACCACTGTGTAGGAGAGACATGACAGGCTTATTAAAATGCAAAGCCCCTGCCTTTGAAGAGACAAAACGGCATCCATTCTTTTCCCATAGGTGTTTAACCATCGCGTGAAATGTTTATGTCAAAATAACTTTCAAACCTGTTACCTAGATCAAAGATACTTTGTTACTTAGGCCTTTTAGCAGAACTGTTGGTAAGTTTTATCAGTTTCCATTCACTCAAATAAGGTGTTAAAATGAAGTTTTGTAATGCATGTTTGTAGGTTTTTAAATAAAAATTCTATCAATATAGACATTTACATTCAAATCAAAATATTATAACTGAACCTAAAATGCACATCTGCTTAAAAATACGGATGTTCTTAAATATGCTTGTTTTTAGTTTGCATGCTTTTACTCTTTAGGGAGGGCAGTTAATGAGTATATGTGAGCTTCCTTGAGATCATTTATCCCCAATATCTTCATAATATCAATTTATGATTATTCTTGTTTAATGAGTAACATACTGTTGTAGATAATGCAAAGTTAGAGTTATTAGAAAATCAGAGTTACAATTAGCATTCAGAATTCATTCATCAGAACAGGTTTAACTTCCTAATTGTGTTTTCATAGAATGATATTAAAATAATAAAATTTTATTCAGTCATTTGATGGCAGGAAGTTAACTCCCAAGGACAGAAGACTTCAGGCTGCAATTTTTAAAAAAGAGGCAAAGTGTATTTATGTGGCTGGGTTAGTAGACTTCACCATCTATTTTCCTAGCCATCATTTATAATCTTAACATCATGAAAGCAAGGAAGCTGGCAAAGATAGGGCCAGTTAGCAATGCCTCGGCATCTGGATTGAGTGTTGTGCAGGCAAACTCACAAGAAGATTCTAGTTTGTATCTTTAAAATGATGAAAAGGAGTAAAGGAAAAGGAAAAAGACATTTTTGTGTTTTATTCTCATATGATCTCTAAAGCTACCCTATGAAGCAAGTACTGTTATTACATCATTTGCAAAAAAAAACCTGGAGTTTAAATCCCTCACCCACTTGTTCAAGTGCACAGTTTACAGTGGTGGAGCTGGTTTTGTCCTGAGGACCTCTGACTCCATAACCTTTGAGTGTTTCTATTTAGCACTCTGCGTTGCAGTTCTAGATACAGACACGATAGGTACAGGCACCCTGGTAACAAAGTGATTCAAGAAATAATGCTGATCACACAGAGCCATCTGGTTCCTCTCAGCCCCATAACCAGGCTTCTTCTATTTCTGCGTGGTACGGAATGATCACCAACAGTGGTCCTCCCTCCCCGTTTCCTCTCTTCCCACTCAAGATCTCAGGAAGTCTGAACATTTTATCTCCTTAGCATCTCTAGTAATTCAGGCTATCAGCACACTTTCCATCCATTTAATAGCTGATACTTGATAATCATGCCAAGCACTGTGAGGAGACGTAATTCAGAAATGTGTCCCGGCATCAAAGACCTGAAGATAAGAATGGTGGTGTGGTATCAAAGTTCTTTTAGGAAGATGGAGTAGGTGGTGTTATTTTCAGTTCCCAGTGTGTAACTTGCCCCTGCACATTTAATTTAGAGCTATGTTTGTTTGGATTGGTGTTTAAAATTATAAACTGACCATCTTTATTTTTCTTGATAAGTAAGGAGTCATCTTGACCAAAAGATTTTTGAAGGTCAGGCATAGCTTACATTTGCAACATTATTTTTGGAAAAGAAAAAAGCATGTTGCACATAGCTGGGCATGGTGGTGCTTACCAGTAATCTTAGCTACTGGGAAGGAGAGTTAACAAGTTTGAGGTCAGGTAGGGCAGCTTAGCCAGACCTGGTCTCAACAACAAAGGAGTAGGGGCTGGGTTCATAGCACAACACTCTCTGGGTTTAATCCTTAGTACTAAAAGAAAGAAAAGGAGAGAGAGATAAGGTTTCAACCAGTAGTTGAGAATTTAAGAAAATTTTGGTATGCCTGCAGAAATATATAGTCATTGAAATAAAAATTATACAGGCCTTACAGCAACATAAATTACAAAGATGCATATGGTAGATGTCCAGCAAAGTAAGACCAGGAAAAGTGACCTTGATGGTTGTAGAGTATCTCCTTTGTACCATTCTGCTACATGGATTTGTTTGTATTTTTCGTATCTTTCTAACTTGCAAAGAAGTTGTTACTCAGTATTTCACAAGTGAAAGAATTGGGGCATAAATATGCGAGTGGACTTTTCCCTGAGGTCACAGTGATTGAGCAAGAGAGCTCAAATCTAGTTCTCTTAAAGCTCCAAATCTGATCATGTTTTCTTGCCCTCTTTTACTTTATCCTGAACTATTCCACCATGTCTCCAGCATTGTTTCAGTTCAGAAATAATCATTTTTATATAGTTAAATGTATTTAGCTAAAAAGTACATGTAGTAAAAATGATAAACTGTAAAAATAATTGATAATTATTGTAGGCTTTTGCACAAAGTTGAAGGACAATTAATAATTGACACTATCTGTAAAATGAAAGTCCGATCATAACATAAATATGTTTTTCTTCTCTCTGAAGCCTTAAGTATGCATTTATGGAACTGTGAGAATGCTAGCTCTTCACTGTTAGCAGGAATGGTACATGAACAAGACAGAAACAGAGTAGCCTGTATTTGTAGATGATAAGCACAATGTTTGTTTCCTTGGGAAGTACTCTCTTTGCTAACTAATGTCTGAAGATGTAGGGATGGAAACCTTTCACTTTTAAACTAGTACACCATAATTTGTACTTTTAAACACTTTAAAAAACTTTTTTAAAAACTTTCTTCAGTGATAATTTCATATTGCAGTTATCACCCATGACTGAAAATCTGTGAAAACTAAAACTGACACTTTACCATATTTTATCTATTTTGATATTTTTGACTTTAATATTTTATAATAAAAACGCTGCAAACACATTCCACCATCAGTTTAATAGCTGTTTAATGATAATTATGGCAAGCACTGGAAGGGGACATAATTCAGAACTGTGTCCAGGTGCATTAATTAGGAAAAAATTTTAAAATAGATCTTTTTTAGAAAGGGCCTTGTCTTGGTAAAACACTTAGGTTTGGAAAGTACTTTGGTGTTTATATTTGAATTTTTTCAGGGTTGTTACTCTGAAGTCATCAGTATAATTCAATAATTTAATTTTTTCTTACGCAATAATATTGCTAAGAAATGTTAAAAGTGGATAGATTCAGATTCTTCTTTTAATTTTTATTTTTGTCTTTCAATTTAAAAAGTTCTTTTCTGTCTGAATTGTTTCACCTGGAGCTTTTCTTTTTCAAAAATTTTAGCTGGAATAAGATTACTAGTTCTTTATATGTTACCTATACTTTTTCATTAAAGAAAATTTCCATTTCCTAGCTACCTGTCCTGTTTAAAGCACAGAGTATACATCAGATGTTTGAAAATTAGTTTTTCCTTTCATTATATTTATTTTGTATAAATTTCTAAATTGCTTCCAGCAAATACCTCTGGACAAAAAGGAACCATTTGCAAAAGTGGAAGATTTGGGTTTCCCATGCAGGAAAGCTTGACAGACTAGTAATTGACTTACTTCCTTTCCCTTGTTGCAGTACCCAGCCGCTCTAATGAACCTGGGGGCCATTCTGCACCTCAATGGCCGACTCCAGAAAGCTGAGGCCAACTACCTGCGGGCCCTGCAGCTCAAACCAGATGATGTCATCACGCAGTCCAATCTTCGCAAACTGTGGAACATCATGGAAAAGCAAGGCTTAAAGACTTCCAAGACCTGACACCGGAGGACACAAACCTCATCCTCCTCCATTTAATAAAGCTGGTTCAATTACCAGACAAAACTTTTCAACAGTGCTATGAAAAGAGCTCATTTTTGACTTCAGGACCCTTGGCAGAGGCCACTGAGGTCAATGAAACCACCTTGCTGTTGGAACAGCCATTAGCACCAAAAAAAGGAACATTGGAAACCTCCAGGAGGATGTAATTGTTACCCACAGACTGCAAACCAGAGCACTTAAACGGGATCTTTTGGCATTCTTTAAAGGGGGGGGGGGTGTGGTATCTAAATTGCAAATTTTGTTCATTTATTTGAAAGCTAACTTTGAAACTATAACGTTCCTTAAACACTGTGAGAGGAAGTCAGTGTCCTTTTAGCCACAGCAAACTATTGGGGTTAAGTGTTAATAGGGAGAAATGAAAACATAGCATAAACCCAGTGAGCCGCTGGTTGTCCTACTGCTGCTGTCTTCCCTCTTTGGGACAGCCTGCTTATCAGTTCCCAAGCTTAGAAAACTTCGGTTTGTTTGCTTGTTTGTTTGTTTCATACTGTGCCAGCATCTAGCAGCATCTGTACTTGTTTCTCAACTGGTCCGCATAATGTTTTATGATTTGAATGTCACCAGTTTCACACTTTCAGACTTCACTTGCTTTTCTTGCTCTGAAAAGGATATGGAGAAAAGAGCTAACACTTCACACTGGTGTTGGAAGAGGGGCTGGAGAGGGCTTATGTGTATCTGGTAGGCATTTTTTTTTTTTTTAAATGTCAGTATTTGTCCCCAGACCGCCTAGTAGAATTCATTGGATTAATTCTTTTGCATTAACCTTTTAAAATAGCTATTCTTGGTGCATCTGCACACTTAGTGTTCCTGTTCTGATAACTAACCAGTCATATTTAGAAAAGGTATATTGTGATTCCCAGATTTTGCTGGTAAAAAAGATCAAGGCTAAGGAGGGGAATATAGGATCATGAGTGCCACTGATTGTGTGTTTTGCAGGGCTGGGATGAAATCCTAACCAAACTCTACTAGGCGCATGAACATCAGTGCGAATAAATTTCCAACAAATTATTTTTATCTCATTTTGCCCTTCATGAAAGATGTCAAAAATAACTTCTTTTAACCTGCAATAAAGTATATAGGATTAGCCTGTGTGTGACTGGGTCTTCTACCAAGTGCTTTTCTGAGTTGAAAAACTATTTTTCACTAGTAAATTGGATATTTTCATTTATTATTTGTTATTAACCACTTCATTGATCTTTCATAAGAAAAAAAACTGTATGAGTTGAAGTCTAGAAAAACATGTATTGAACATTTTTGGCTTGCAGACAAACTTCACTACTAAAAGTTAATCTCATAAAACACCGGCCCATTTTCAACCTCTTCATAGAGAAATTAGCTGTACTATACCCTATTTATTTATTTATTATTCTACCACAGCAGAATAACAATGAATTTGATTCACTAAGCCAATTCTTCACAATTCAAAATTAGCTTTTTCTCCTTCCCTTTCACACTCCATGTATATATGATCACTGTTTCCATTAAAGGGAAGCTGGACGCGCAAATGCATTGTATTATTTTTTTTCCATTTTATATGTTTATATATCTGAATACAGTGGGATAAAGAATTTAAAGTAGTGTTCCTATGGCTTTAGTGTCTTTGTGAGAAAGGCAAATGTAGTGAGAGAGATTTTTTTGATGGCATTAATATGGAGGCCCTCCTATATTATGTATATTATTTTATAAACATTTCATTGAGGGCCAGAAGTTAAATTATAACTAAATCACTGTGTGAGCAGAATGATACTTAACATTTAACAACAACAAACCCGTGGTCAAACCAAAAGCGTGGGTTGAAGAATATTTTTCAACTTCTAGTGCATTGGCAATGACAAAAAGAAAAGGGATTTAATATAAGGCTATAAAAATAAATTCAGTGTCTAACATTTTATTTATTAAATACTTATGACTTATGAGGACTTCCTAGTCTTAACATTTTATGTCTTTTTATTGTGTTGTTCTTATTTCCAACATTTGTTTCTTAATGGGTTCACTGAATGCACAGTAGAGGCACTTCATGTGACTCAGTTCCCAAGAAGCATTAATAATTGGGCCTGTGTCATACAAAAAATGCATGGATTTTTAATAACGAAATGTCCCTGACACTTTTCACTACAGGGCTGGACTTAGTAACTGACCAACTCGGGGATGGGGGTGGGGGTGGGTTGGGGGGGGCATTAGAACATGATCAGAAAAATGTCTCCGCTCAGGGATTTATGGTGGATTATTGCAGACAGTGCTAAAAATATAGAGCACAAGACAAGTTTACTAAATTAAAATTTTATTTTTTGAGAAACTGTTATTTGTATAAATTATCAAGATTTGTAGGCTTTCCTTTTGTAGAAATAATTGTTTTATGTGCCAGAGAATTTCAATTTTGTTTTCAACAATAAAGCATTGATAACAAATATATTGTGTAAGCTTCTTTTTCAATCCTCTATAGTGACAGCAGTTAAACTCTGGGATTTTAACAAAACCAAGAGAAAAGTTGAAAAGAATAAAGGTTTAATGTCAGATAGGGATACATTATTTTAATGAATAATAATTTCTAGTAGTTAAAGAAAGTTTGTCTGTATCACCACATTTACCATGTTCAAAAAAGATGACCAAGTTTTGTTTTCTTTGAATACTGAACTATGCAGAAATGTTCTAGGAACTGTTCTAAGAAGGGCATAATTGCCAGTTCCCTGTCTAAGTAGGTCATTCGATAAAAATGGCTGTATTTCAAAGACCCTGATTCTCTCACTCTGGTCTTGCTTAAAAGCACAACAATATTCTTCTGAAAAACGTGGGTGTAACACATACAGGAGTTGATAATAAAGAAGTCTGGAGTCTTAGACAAGTTGCAAACTGACAAGAGAATTTTAATCTTGTTGAAATTGTTCTATAACATGGTTATATATATTGCCTATTTTCTTTAATGTAGGAAAAAATTTAGTCCTGAGGATTTTATAATATTCTAAATATCCCGTGGATGTTTGAAGTTACATTTCAGTTTTGCAGATAAGAAAATCAGGATGTAGGGGTATGGGACAATTTGTCCAGTATCACTAAGCTCACATGTATCAGGCCTGTCCCCACTTTGTCTAATGCACATGTGTCCAGTGAGATATGGGCTCTCAGACACTGCACCAGAAGCCTGGAAATCAGACTTCTCAACTTGGGATTTCCTTAACCATTTTGTCTTCAACAAAATCACATTCTGTAACTCATCACAGATGATTGTGAAGACTAAAAGAAGCAATTAATGAGAAACATAAAAATTGAGATGGTGAGAGCCACACAAGATTTCAGTGATTGTGAAGCTAAGCCCTTTACTCTCCATTTAAGGACCATAAAGACACGTTAAATGATTTAGTCAAGATCCCAAAACTAGCTAGGTAGCAGTAGTCAAAAGACTATAAAATGTCAGTTATCAAGAGACGTGGCTATATAAATTTATTGCATACTTGATTCTATTTTTAAGAAAAGGTATTATTTAAACTTTCATTGAAATACTATACTTTGAAACTAATGAAATTTTGGCATTGTTTTTGCACTCTGCTGTATCATTGCTGAGTAAAATACCCATAAAATAGACAAGTGAAAATTCAATTACTCACCTACTTGATACTTTTACAAAATCACTTTGTAAAATAGTTAAGATGTGGACAGTTTGTGACTGTCCACCTGAGACATTTTCTCCTTTGATAAGAGTCTTCACATCATATGCTTCTTGTAAAAGCAAGAGGAATTCATCTAAGTCTCAATTATTCATTCTAATACAAGGAAAGAAACTTGGTTTCTATGGAAAATTTAAGTGTTATAATTCTAGTTTGTGTGTATCTTTAGAATATAATTTTACACTTAATTTAAATATTACATTCAGTTCTAGAGAATTTGCTTCCTACCATTTAAAACTTGATTTTCTAAGTGGTGTGTCTAAAAAGTTGACTTATCCATTAGAATTGCTATATATTTGAGAATGAAAGTGGGTGGCAACACAGTTTTTCTCACTTATGCTTAATTTTCAGTAGAAAAGATGCTTGTGTAATAGGGCTTCCTCTTTCTGGGTCGTTTTGGGTGGTGTTCCTGCAGGATTGAACCAGAGAGGCTTTTGAGACGGCTTTCATTCCATCTGCCACTTTATCGCATGTTGACCTTTTTGTTGTCCCATAAATGTTTGAGCTATATTCTTCCCCCTGGAGACTGCAGGGATTTCAATTATTTTTGTTAACAAAATTCCTGTGAAAATTTTCTTCTGGCTTTCCCAACCCTTTCTTCCCTTTTCTTAGTGATGATCTCTGATATCACTGTGCTAATAGCCCTGATAAGTGAAGGGCTCTTGTTTAGCAAGAAGTTTTTGATCAAATGAGAAATTTACAAATATATGAGACACTGGGGTGAGATAATTGAGAATATAATAGGAATCTAAGAAATTAGTTAATGTAATTCCTAAATGTCCTTTGAGAAAAGTTTCTGAATAGTCACAAAAGAGGGAAGTCAAGATAAAGAAAAGTGTAGATCCCTGGGGGAGATTTATTTTCTCAGTCATAATTAAGTTTCCATTGTAGACATAGGGGATTTGATTAGAAGAGTTTGGGACTATCTGTGTTCTTTTGGTTAATGAATCATCTATCAAGTTTGGGTCACTGTATTTGGGGAAAAATGTATAGCAAGTAAGTGAATAATACAGCTCAAGCAAGGCTGAAAGATGTTCAATCAGTATGAAGACTAGACTAGAACTGGCTGTCTGCTCTGATCAGAAGGAAAGGTATTTAATTTTTCTGCTTCTTTTAGACTCTATAGATACATCACATTTAATGGAAGTTAAAACTACGAGCCATTCTTCACTCACATGGAGAGAATAGAACTCTATAGTCCCAGACTTCTAGAAATACTTTTTCTCATAAGTTCCCATTGTGTCTATTTCTTTTCCATCCTAGGAAATGCAGAATTAAATAACTCCTCTGAGACCTTTCCCTTGGCAATATCCTTGAGCAGCTAGAGACTGTATAAAAGTTTTCAAAAATGCATTGACAAAGAAATCAAGCAATTTATTTCTAAAATTCTTAAAATATCATAAAGGAGTTAATGTATTTTTTTCAGTTGAGCACTCTCATGTAATGTAAAAGGTAATACACTACCAGAAAATCAGAACTGGTGAAAGAAGAGAGGAATGAATAGGAGGAGGTGGAGGAGACAATGATTACATCTGATCTTGAAGTACATCTTTTTTCTAATCTCATTTCAAAAATAACGGGTACACTAACTTGAATCACAATTAGCTTTTCACTATGATAGACATCAACTTATTAAATACATATAGTCAATAAATGATCTTAATACAGTTTGATTAAATTCTTTTTGTGCTATTTTAAGTACGTTATGCATAATATCTAGATATTTTACATTTCCTTTGCAATATAAATATGTTTTGCTACATATCAAAATAATGACAATTTGGAGAATTTCAATGGAATTGTACTGTTTCAAAGTATATTTTAAAATGGTCTGCTATGCCACCAAATAATTTGTTATTATGACATTCTGCTGAAATTTAGTGACTTTGCATTCTATGCTATAGAAGTCCATACATGGATGTAATGTTTTATTATATTCCATTGAGTCTCTGAGTTCCTCTGTTGTTGACATTATAAAATGTGATTACACAGCCAGCTGTTGTGGCACATACCTGTAATTTCAGTGCTCTGAGAGGCTGAAGCAGGAAAATCACAAGTTTGAGACCAGCCTGGGCAACTTAATGAGTTAGCAAGACCCTGTCTCAAAAATAAATACATAAATAAATAAATAAATAAATAATGGCTGTGGAAGTAGCTCATTGTAAATGCCCTGGGTTCAATCCTAAATCTGCAATACTAGAAAAGGAAAAGGTGATTATGTCAGCAAAGTCCATCTCTTTCTATAAAATTAATCACTGCCCCCAAAATCTGTACAGATGAAGATGTTGTTTAGGGCAGTTCATTGATGGGTAAGCATACACATTCCCAGTGGCTCGGACATAACATAAAATACTGAGGTAGTAGCTTCAAGTCATGTCCTGCAGGGCCCAACATTAACTAGAGCTTGTGAAAGACCTGGGAG